CTTTTTTTCCAGGTCTTCTAAGTCCCTTAGCAGCGATGTCTTCCTAAAAATCTCTCATTGCTTTTTAAGCTTAATGTTAGAAGGGATTATCTATCAAGAAAAGATACTGACTTTCATCAAAAGTCTTTCAGTGTTTATGATGACACTGTCATTTTTCTTTTGATCTATTGATGTAGGTTTTGAAAATACTAAATTATTCCTGAATGTTTAGAAGTCAGGATTTAAATTGGTATTCTCACACTTCATAGCTTTGTTTCATTGTGAAGATTGCTTCATCTTACTGAGACAATTTCCTGTAAAATGGGAATAATTGTAGAGCTGCCATTTTTGCCTGCTTAGATCATTCTCCTTCTTAGTGACACACCATCCCCATCTGTCTTTGGGGGACTCAGTGTTCCCTACTTTCAGTTCTTGTGGTGTGAGAGGAGCTGACCCTTCACCAGATTCAGGGGGACAGTTAAAACAGGACACTTCACTTCTCCCACCACTGCAACAGTAATTTAAGGATGACATAAGCTGGGCCAGTTTTGGACTTTCTCTGGAGCTTACTGCTTCTGCTAAGCTCCTGGGATGTATATGTAGAGTTCTCATCATGGAATTGTCAACATTTGGGAAGAGTCTTGCCTAAGAATGAAAATGCAGAGGAAATCAAAGCCAAGAACGAGAGAGAGAGAGACACAGAGATTTGAAAAAATGCTTTGAACCAACACTCTCCATTTACTGCCTGAATATTTAGTCAACAACAGCAACAACCACAAACACAATTACAAAAATAATAGTAGTTACAATAACTAACTTTTTTGAATGTTTGCTGTAGACCAGTTTGCATGTACCTTTTGTGCATGAGCCCTTTTAGTCTCCATAATAATACAATGGGGTGAGTGCTATTATTCTCCCATTTTCAGATGAGAAAACCGAGGCCCAGGAGTTTTAGTAACTTTCTCAATGTCATAGGGATAGTAAGCGGCAGAGCCAGGACTCATGTGCAGGCCATCTTGCTTTAGCATCTAAGTAGTCTGCTTGTGTCAATCAAGGAGCTTTCTGTCTACAGGCTGCTGAGGAAGGGTTTCTGCCACCAGCAATAATGAAATTTTAATCGTATAATCATAATACCTACCTTGTAAAGTTGATGAAAGACTTAAATGGTTTGTAGATGTGATTTTACTTAGTGCACTGTCTGCCACATAACAAGTGTACAGATGTTAGACGTTGCTGTCACAGTTGAATCATTGAGTCTTACTCTCCAAACTGCTCAGAGAAGCAGAGAGGAGTAAAGACAATAGGCTTTTTGGAACTACTTGTATATTTATTAGTCTTGCCTGAGTTCTGAGAAATGGACTTCATCTGGAATTACAAACTCACATGCTTAAGGGGCCAAGAAGTTGGTGTAAATCACTATTTCTGAACTTTTGTACTACCGGCATTTTGCAACATTGTGCAGGCTGCACTTTAGGATGTTAGCAATATCCTCAGCATCTACCTGCTAGATGTTGGTAGCACCCCTCCACCTACCATATGATGATCAAAAATGTCAAAAATCAAAAATTGAGACGTTGCCAAATGTCCCTTGAAGGACAAAACTTTCCCCAGTCAGGAACGCTTGGTGTAAATGAATGAAGCCCATGCTTTCATTGCATGAGTCCCGGTGCTTGTGTCATTGTGAAGGATGGCCCTGTCTGTCTAAAGAGGCAGCCACTGCTTGGCTCCAGCTGGCTGCTGCAGAGGGGGAAAATAGACTCATTATTGTCAGATCATCCAAAATTTCAAGAGAAATCAATGGTATATATATATATATATATTTCATGTTTTTAATTTTTTGATTTTTAAATTTTTTGTGGGTACACAGTAGGTACATATATTTATGGAGTACATGAGATGTTTTGTTACAGGCATGAAATGTAAAATAAGCTCTAATTTACATCACAGGGAATGGGGTATCCATCTCCTCAAGCATTTATCGTTTGAGTTACAAACAATGCAATTACATTCTTTAGGTGATTTAAAAATGTACAATTAAATTATTATTGACGATAGTCACCCTATTGTGCTATCAAATAGTAGGTCTTATTCATTCTTTATATATATTTTTGCACCATTAATCATCCCCACCTCTCCCCAACATCCCCTACTAACCTTCCCAGCCTCTGTTAATTATCCTTCTATTCTCTATGTTCATGAGTTCAATTGTTTTGATTTTAAGATCACACAAATAAGTGAGAACATGGGACGTTGGTTTTTCTGTGCTTGGCTTTTTTCACTGAGCATAATGATCTCCAGTTCCATCCAAGTTGCTGCAAATGTCTAAATCTCATTCTTTTTTATGGCTGAATTATACTCCATTGTGTATGTGTATGGACTAGGTTGCTTCCAAATCTTAGCTATTGTGAACAGTGCTGCAATAACTTGGAAGTGCAGATAGATCTTTGATATACTGATTCCTTTCTTTTGGATATATACCCAGCGATAGGATTGCTGGATCATGTGGTAGCTCAATTTGTAGTTTTCAAAAGAACCACAAAACTGTTCTCCTTAGTGGCTGTACTAATTTAAATTCCCGCCAACAGTGTACAAGAGTTCTTATTTTTTAGGTTTTTAAATGTTGGTCCCCATTTATTATAACTTGATGTAGGCCAAATGAAAGACAAGACCTCTGTGGCCATGTTTGGCCTCCAGACTGTCCACATCTAAGATTTGGCCTGGAGGATTTCCCAAGGTGCTATTCCAGATGTCTGTGAAACTCGACAGGATTCTCCTTTTTTATGTACCTTTGTCCCTAAGAATGCTCCCTTTCAAACCAGTTGGGACGATCAAAGTAGTATTTAATTCTCTTAATTGATTATGTTTGTGTTGCTCCCTTAAACAGACATGTCTTTTTAACTTGTCCCTCAGTAACGTGAATTCTAGAGTGAGTGGAGATTTCAGTTGGGGTCCTCTATCTTTTTACTCGCAATTTCTGGTGTCTGTGGATGTTTTCATTGCTTGTAAATGTTGGAACTTAAAGAACTTAAGTTAGTTCACCAATATGGGCAATGTATGATAGGGGAATTTCTTGGAACCTATAGATAACATGTATAATCAAACATCAGATCAGAAATGCATTTTTCTTTTTCTGTGAAGCTTATATTTTGGGCAGAGGGCAGCACAGGGGGTCAGTCCTTCTTGGCAGCTGCTTTCCTCCTGGCAGCCATGCTCAGCTCCTCCCACTTACTCTTTGCACAGATGCACATCCTCACCCTGTTTTTGATGCACTTAAGGGCCCATTTGTCCTTGGAGACCTTCAGTAACTCCATGACGCCCTACTCGCATGGAGCAAAGTCATTCACCTCTCAGATCACATCCCGTGTAAACTTGGTATGTTTGGTCAGGTGCTGTGTCGTGTGAAGTGACGTTATTCTCTTGTTTTCCTAGATATATCTTTTATTCGTTTTTCTTCCTCCAGAGAAAACCATCTTCTCTCTTTTTAAGCACATGGCTGCCCCCGTCCTGCAGTTATTTCCTGCTCATGCTTCAATATGAATTTTCTATGAGAGAATGTGACTGTATCAGAGCTAGGCCTCAACCCATGTGTCCCCCATGCCACGACAGTATCACAAAGCCAGATGATCCACTCTATGGTATAAGGTACCTTGTTTTGCTTGCGCTGAATCTTCAAAACCCAGAGTCATGCCTGGCATGTAAGGGCATTTATGGTCTCTTCTATCTTCATACATCCTCCCTGTGTGACCTCATCCAGACTTGAGACTTAAAATATCATTCAACTGATGCTGAATTGTCATCCCTAGGATAAAATTGAACTCCCTTAACATCTTCATCCAGATGAAGGCATCTTTAGGCATCTAGACTAAACTTACCTAAAACCAAGCTCTTTCTCCAAAATATCTGCTCTTCACCTCTAGGGATGAGTCTTTTCCATCTCAGTAAATGGTATCCCCAGACTGCTGCTACTCAGACCTGCAGCTTTGCAGCCATCTTTGGCACCTGCACTTCTGTCACTCTCTACTTTCAAGTTATCTGTAAATCCCATTGGCTACAGAACCTGACCAGCCCTCACTGCATGACAACTGTGATCCTGGGCAGAGTCACAATGATCTCTCAGCCGGATTGCATCAATAGCCTGCTCACCAGTTTCACTGCTCCCTGGAATCTGGAATGCTGCTGTAAAAACATTAGTCAGATCACGTCATGCCTTGGCTTTCTTTTTTTCTTTTATTTATTTATTTTGAGACAGAGTTTCACTCTTATTCTTCAGGCTGGAGTGCAACTATGCAGTCTTGGCTCAGTGCAACCAGGTTCAAGTGATTCTCCTGCCTTGGCCTCCTGAGTAGCTGGGATTATAGGTGTGTGCCACTGTGCCCGGCTAATTTTTGTATTTTTAGTAGAGATGGGGTTTCACCATGTTGGCCAGGCTGGTCTCAAACTCCTGACCTCAGGTGATCCACCTGCCTTGGTCTTCCAAAGTGCTGGGATTACAGGTTTGAGCCACCGCACCTGGCTGGCTTTCAAAACCCTCTAATGGCTTCCAATACCTTTCATAGGGAGAGCCTAAATATGGTAAGACCTCAGAAGGCCTGTGGGTCTTCTCTATTTCCTTCCCCTTTCTGACTCTCTGGGTTCCATCGTCCTGTTTGTTCACCTTTCTCCAGTTACAGGGGCCTCCTTGCTATTTCCCAGATGAGGACGCTCGACCTCAGGGCCTTTGTATCTCCTTCTCCCCATGTCTAGGGAGACCAGATATGGTCATAGTTTCCTCCCGCCTTTTTTCATATTACTTTTTCAGCGTCTCAGTATGGCCTTCCCCTGCTACCTATATAAAGCAGCATGTCCATTGCCTGCAGCACACTCCAGTCCTTTCTTTTCCTTCCCTGCCCCCAGAGCATTTGTCACTATCTTTTGGTTATTGTCAATTTCTCCCACTACAGTACAAATTTACAAGATCATAGTCAGTATTTTTTGTAAGTTTTAATTTTAGCATGATTTAACTTTATTAAATAATGGCAAGGATAGTACAGAGAATTCCCACATACCCCTCATTTAGTTTCCCCATTTCTTAACATTGTATGTGACAGTAGAACATTGCATTTGTTACTCCTGATGAATCAACACTGATACTCTACTGTGAATTTAATTTTATAGTTTATTCAAATTTTCTTCGTTTTTATCTAATGTTTTTTTCTGTGCCAGCCTTTCATTCTGGTCACCACATTACACTGAGTCGTCATGTCTCCATAGACTCCTCTCGGCTGTGACAGTTTCTCAGACTGTTCTTGTTTCTGATGGCTTTAAGACTTGTGAAGGGTGATGGTCAGGCATTTCATAAAACATCTCTGAATTGGGTTTGACTGATGTTTTTCATGATTAGACTGAAGTTACGGGTTTCGGGAAAAAGACCACAGAGGTAAAGTGTCATTTTCATCAGATAGTATAAAAAGGCACGTGCCATCAACATGATTCATCACTGTGATATTGACCTTGAGCACCTGGCTGAAGTCATGTTTTGTCAGGCTCTTCACTGTTAAGTTACCATTCTACCTCCCTACCCTTCCTTCATACTGTCTTTTTTGGAAGGAAGTCACTATATACAACTTATGGTTATGGAGGGGCAGTTATGCTCCACCTAAATCAAGGAAAAATATCTCCACAGCTAATTGGAATTCTTCTGCACAGAAGATTGTCTTTTGTGTCCCATTTATCTATCAGTCATTTATTTGTGTCAATGTGAATCATAGATATTGATTTTAGACTTTGTCTATAATACAATAACACCTCATTTTGTTGCTCACATTGTTTCGGCCTTGCCTTCTGGGAGCTCTTTTGGTTTGCTTCTGGGTCTCTTCAGCATACTTCTATTATTGTGGGCTTCCTTTAAAAGTATTTTCTTACTTTTCGATAATACAAGATGCTCCAGATATTCTGGCCCCTGTCCTAGAATCAGATATTTTTCCATAGAGTCCTGGTTCCTTATACTAGAAAATGGCATTTAGAAACCAAAATCAAGGTGCCAGGTGTACTCACTGCTAATGAATGTTATTTCATTTAGGTCCCGTAGCTGACAGAGCAAGGACATGTATGTGTGTATACTAACATGTCTGTATACACATATCTATAAATATTTCTGTGTGCAACCATCTATTTGTAACCATTTCTATAGTGTAACCAACTATATCAAGCTAAATGTGAATTTATCTTGATGTCTACAACTCTAATTTATTACTACATGGATCATTCTTATCTTCTCCTCTTGCTTGTTTGTGTCTTTTTCAAAAAGATGTTCACTATACAGAGCAGTGCCCAGACACAATAGGTAGTCAATCAATATTTGTTGATTAAACTTGCTGCATACATTTGAGAAGGAATGAATCAATGTAGTCTGCCCCTCCCTACTAAGCAGAGTAGACTTTAAAAGAGGGAGTGTGGAAAGTACTTTGGTGTGGTGATGCATGTCTGTAGTTCCAGCTACTCAAGAGACTGAGGCAAGAGAATTGCTTAAACCAGGGAGGCAGAATTCACAGTGAGCCAAGACGGCACTACTGTACTCCACCTTGGGTGATGGAGGGAGACTCCACCTCAAAAAAAAAAGTGCTCTAAGGATCAAAAACATAAAAAGTATTTTTGCTTCTTTGTAATAATAGCCTCAGCAGTACTTTTTCAATTTCAGCCTTTATTGCTCTATTGCCAGATGTTACACTGAGAGTATTTATTAATGTGAAAACATTAATTTTAAAGAAGTTATTTCAGGTCAACTCCAATATGGCCATACAAAAATGAGAAAATGAGTCAATCTCTTCAGTTTTCTCAAAATATGCATCTCAAATTTCCACTTGTAGCCATGATAAAGGATCTAATATCAGATTGGTCTCTTTCATGAACAACATGAAAACTGAACAAAATACAGGAAGCAATTATTTTCAGACATTACATGATGTGTAGCACAAGACTGCCATCTTTGAGAGACAAAGAACAACCAAGATGAACCACATGATCACTCTGGGCTTCTGTTCGCCATGTTCTGGACTACAATTTAGGAGAGTCAACCCAAGCAGAGTATAATGGTCTTGCTGAATCGAGGAAAAAGGCATCATACTTTGGGGAGGAAGAACAGATGGAATTTGTGGGGCAGAATCCTAAAGGAAAAGAGCTCCAGAAATCTGCCGAGCATCTTCTTGAGACTTGAAATAATACTAAGTTAGCTGTGCACTGACTGAAACTACACAAGGGTGGACAAAGAATGACTACCAAATAGAATGAATCAGTCAGAGTTCAGTGTTGAGGGATATTTGAGTTCCAACCTAACAGAGAGGTGAGATTGAATTGAATACACAGGGTTTGCACAAAGACCCCCACAAAGTGTGTTACATTAACAGTAGGGCTAAACTAATTTGAAGGTAAAAGGTAATCAAGGCCAACAAATTTAATTTGGGCTGGATAATTTTTTGTGTGTGCATAGCTGTTATGTGCATTGTTTATTAGCATTCCTGACTTCTACCAACTGGATGCAGTAGTACCCTCCATGTAGTTGTGACAACCAAAACAGCCTCCATATATGGCCAAATGCCCTGTGGGGAGAGAAATGAAAAATTACCGTCAGTTGAAAATTACTGATCTAGACCAATTCAAATAAACTTAAAAACAAGCCTCCAAAGAATCGAACTGATATGCAAGTAACTTAACCAACTTCCAACATTCTTTAAAGGAAGAACACAGACTATAGTCACTCAACAATGTAAAATAATGTTCAGCATTGAGTAAAAGTCCCTTGGGAAACAAAAAAAAAAGCCAGAAAAATATGTAGTCCCAGAAATAATCAAGGTGATGTAATTAGTAGATAAGGACTTTAAAAGAGCTAGTATAATTATGTTAAGCATTTAAAAAAACATGTATGAGAAAAGAAATTAAATATATTAAAGGTGGAAAACCAAGTGGAATTTTGACAGCTAGAAATACAATATTTGAAATTAAATATATGTAATTTCAATACTTAAATCTAAATATATATTATGTATATATTACACATAAAGAAAAGATTAGATGCTGAAGAAGAAAAGCACGTTGAATTTGGAGACATACTTATAGAACATATCTAAATTAAATCACAGAGGACCCCCACAACAAAAGATAAAGATATTCTCAATGACATGTGGGACAATTCCAGGTGGTCTAATTTATGTATTATTGGGGTCCCAGAAAATGAAAGAAGAGGAAAGAAAATATATTTAATAAAATAATTGCCAAAAACTTTCCAAAATTACTCGAAATTATGTATCCTGACACTTAAATATCCCAATAAATTCAGAGCAAGATAAACTTAAGTAAAGCCACACAGATTTATTTCATAATCAGATTACTAAAACCTAGTAATAAAAAGAAAATCTTAGAAGTATACAGAGGCAGAAAAAAAGACACATAAAATAAACACAACAAAGATAAGCATACTTCTTATTTCTCATCATGGGCACAAGGCACAAAAGAATGAAACAACTCCATTTACTGGTGAAAGAAAAAAAGAAAAGGTTAACCTAGAATTCTATAACTGGTGAAAATATTCTTCAAAAATAAAGAGAAAAAGGACATTTCAGTTCAATTCAAGCTGAAAGAATTTGTCCCCAGCAGATTCTCACCACAATACATTTTTGTTTATTTTTTCCTAAAGAAACTTTTTCAGGCTGATAGAAAATAATATCAGATAGAATTGCATCTCCAGTGCCAAAATTGAGAGATGGTAGGTAAATATGAAAGGCATTTTTCTCATTTAAAACATTTATTTTATATAGTTTCAATTACAAAATAACCGACTTTAAAGCAAATAATTGTATTTTGAGTATGTTACAAATGTGAAAGTTAATGCAGGACAACATTAGCACAAAAGACAGAATGAAAGAAAAGGAGGTACATACTACTTTAAGATTCTTATTACATGTTAAGTAGTATATTATTAGTTGAAGATTGTGATAATTTAAAGGTGCATATTATAAACCTAGAAATACCACTAAAAGAAAAACAAGTACAGACAATAAGCCAATAGAGAAGATATAAAATAGTTTAAAAATCCAATTAATCCAAAGGAGGCAGGAAAAGAGAAATAAGGGAGGGAAGAAAGGTGGGCCAACAGAAATATAAAAAGCAGGATGGTAGACTTAAGCTCATATCAATAATTTTATTAAATGTAAATGGTCTAAATACCCTAAAACAATGTTAGAGATAAAAAACAAAACTCTCTATATCTATCTGCAGGAGGTGCTCTTAAAATCTACAGATTCAGATAAGTTAAAAGAAAGAATAGATAAAAATCTGGCATGCAAAATGTAATAAAATTGGAGTGAGTTTATTAATATCATTTGCAGTAGACTTAAAGGATAAAGAAGGGTCATTTTTAATGATAAAATGGTCTGTTCACTAAGAAGGCAAGACAATTCTAAATATACATTCACCTAATAAGCAGAGCTGCAAAATACATGAAACAAAATTGCCAGAAGCAAAAAGAAAAACAAATCCACAATTAGTGCTGGAGACCTCCATATTTCTCTGTTTCTGTGAAAAGATTAAAAAATTAGAAATCTGTTGCTAGATTGATTAGGAAAAACAGAAAGCAGAACTGAATTACCGGCATTAGGATTTTAAAGAAAGGAATTCCTATAGATTCTTCAGACATTAAACAAATAATACTTGACTATGATAAATGACATTGTGACAGTCAATCTGACAATTTAGAGTGAGTGGACAAATTCCTTGAAAGACACAAATTACCTAAAGCGGCACAAAAAGAATAGAAAAATCAGAATAACCCTGGTTATTGAAGAACTTGAATTTGTAATTTAAGACTTCATAAAGAGAACTTCAGGCCCAGATTACTTCACTCATAAATTCTATACAGTATTTGGGAAACAAATACTACTAATCATAGACACAGTTAGAAAATAGAGAAGATAACACATGCCAACCCATTTTTTGAGGATATCAATACTGTGATACCAAGAGCAGACTAAGATGTAACCAAAAAGAATAACCCCACAGATTAATATCTCATTAATATAAATATAAAAATTCTTAATAATATTTTAAAATGAAATCCATCATTATATATAAAAATGATATCATAGCCAAGTAGGGTTTAATTTTAGAAATGCAAGGTTGGGTGTATCATTTGAAAATTAATCAATGTAATTTGCCACACAAAAGAATAAAGGAAAAAATACAGTCAGCCAAACAGATGCAGAGAAAGCATTTGGCTAAAATCAATAATCATTCATGATAAAAACTCTCCACAGGATTGAAATAGAAGAAACTTTCTCAACCTGAAAAGAGGCACCTAAGAAATATCTAAAGCTTCCACTATTCATGCTTAATGGTGAAGAACTGAATAGCCTTCTTTTAAGATCAAGGATAGAGCAATGATGTTTTATCTCACCATTTCTATTCACATTGCCCTAGGGTTCTAGACAGTGCCGTTAGTCAAAGAAAAGTAATAAAAGCCATACAGACTGGAAAGAAAACATTTTCAACTGTCTTTATTTGTAGATGATATTTTCATGAACTTAAAAAATTCTGAGAACTCTATAAAAAGCTTCAAAAACGAATACATTTATTAAAGTTGAGGCAACAAACAATATGAAAAATCAATTACCTTTTAATATACTATCAACAAACAATTGGTAAATTATATTTAAAAGTATGATTTACAATGGCACCAAAATCCATGAAAAATTCAATAATAAATTTAATATAATATGTCCAGGAACTGTATGCTGCAACTCAAAATACTGATGAGTCACAGTAAAAGAGAAGTAAATAAATTGAAAGATGTGCACAATCGTAGATTAGAAAACTCAATGTTAAGGTAACAGCTCTCCCTAAAATTGTCTATAGATTCAATGCAAAACTATTACAAATCTCATCAGTCTTTTGTGGAAATTGACAAGCTGATTTATAATTTATATGGAAATGCAAAGGATCTAGATAGCCCAAACAATTTTGAAAATAAAAAACAAACTTGGATGTCTTATGCTATCTGCTTTCAAGACTTATTATGAGTCTATTGTAATTAAAACAATGTGGCATTAACATAAAGTATAAATACAGATCAGTGGAACAAATAAGAACGTCCAGAAATAGACCCATTCATATAAGGCCAATTCATTTTTGACAAAAATGCCAAGATAATTCAGTGGGGAAAACAATAGCCTTTTTAAAAATGTGTGCTGAAACAACTTGATAGTCATGTGGAGTAGATGACAAATTTGGACCCCTACCTCACACCATAGACTTAAATGCAAATTTAAAAAAAAGAATTATATACTACTGCATCACTACTAGAATGGCTACAATTAAAGTGACTGACAGCACCAAGGGCTGATGAGAATGTGGAATAACTTGAACTGCAAACTTTAATGCTAGGAGCTTAAAATGGTACAACAACTTTGAAGAACTTTTTGATAATTTCTTATAAGTTAAATATATACTTAGCATGTGATCTAGCAACTCCACTTCTAAGTATTTACTTAAGAAAACTGTCTTAGAGCTCTTTGAACTCCCTGAAATTTTATCTAGAATTTTGTGGTATGTGTATTTTCTTTCCGAGAATAGTCTTTGTTTTCCTCAGATTCTCAAAGTACTCATTACCCCAAAAGAAATATGAAACACTGTGTCAGTTATAGCTGTCCTTCTATGACAATAATTACTAAGACTAACATAAGGGTCCCTAAAGTACCCCAAGTGACATTTATTGTCAACACTAGAAAACCACCAAGAAAGAATTGCCCAAATGTGAAGGGCAGTTGCCAAATATGCTACAACTACATAACATTAATAAAAATTTAAATTGTTGGGAGCTTTGTACATACCTTAGAATTGTCAATGATATTTTAATTAACTTATACTAAAAATAATAAGTTGAAAATATAGCCACAAAGGTATACATTATTGTGTTTTTTGTAATAATGAAAACTGAAATAGCTTTAAAGTTCAACAGTAATGAAGTAGCTAAAAAATTATGGTACATCAATACAATGGCATACTACAGTATCTTTAAAAATGGTGTTGGAAAATATTAATGAGATACAAAAAAATAACATCCTATGTCAGGAGACAGCAAACGTTGGCTATGGAACAAACTCTGCCCATCACTTAGTTTTGTAAATAGTTTTGTTGGAACACAGCTACACCCATTCATTTCTTACTGTCTTTGGCTGGTTTTGTTCTATAGCTGCAGAGTCAAGTGATTGCAAGAGAGACCTTATGGCTGGCAAAGCTGAAAATCTGCTCTATCTAGTACTTTACAAAAAAGGCTTTCCAATCTCTGTTGTATATCATTAAGAAATAATATATGATATCATTTCTGTAAAATACACACACAGACACACACAGATACACACAAACACACACACACACACACACACTTCAAACTAGATATACCAAAATGATAGGCAGTGGTTTATCTTGGGTGATAGAATAACAGATAATTTTGATTTTTATCCCTTTCCTTTGTAGTATTTTCTGGAATTTATACAATAACTGTGACTTTTACCATCACGTACAAAACATTTTTTAAAATTTTATAATACCATTTAAAAGTCCCTTTCTATTTAGCCTTCAGCAGTTTCCGCAGTCTTCCAATCTCTTCTTGTGGTGACAGTGACAGCAGAAGAGTCTCCAGTTATTTTGTTGAGTGGTTGTGAAGCTACCAATTGCCCTGTAAGCAGGTTCTATTCAGTATTGCTCCTGGGAGGATACTAGCAACAGGAAAAGAAGAACAGGGCAACAGTGCTTGGAGGAAATTAAGATCTGCAGATGTGACATTTCCTAGAAATCATCCTGTCTTAGTTTCTCCCATAATTATTCACAATTTTGTTTACAAATGGGAAATAGCATACTACTGCTCAGTGTCTTCCAAGAGACTGAAGTTAATTTGAAAAAATCCTCCAGCAAAAGCACCAATAAAAGCATCTGGAACGCCCTGTTGCCATACCCTCTGGCTACTGACACGACATTATTGATACACAAATCAAAGTTGACTGCTCTGGTAACAATGAGTCCCCTGGCAGCAAGAGCTTTCAACAGAGAAGGTGTTCCTTTCTTAAGACAGGACCAACTTAATACAATATCTTATTGTAACAGGCTTAGTTAAGACATTAAGGGGATCCCACACTGAAATTTATTTATTTTTCCTTTTTCCCCCCTTTGGATAGAATGGACCAACAAAAACATAAAAATAAATAAATAAAATAAGAAGAAATTCAAGCTAAGCTTAAGAATAGACTCATGAGACATAAAGGAGGTTACAAATGTAATGTGATTTGAGGGCTGTCACACGATTTCACCTGTCAGAAATCTGTAACGGGAAGCTTACGCCTGCCTGACGTTTTCACCATTAGAGTCATTCTTTTGAGACATAGTATTTCTTAAAAGGCTTTGCTCAGATATAGAATTGTAGAATTTCTGTGTTTAAAGGACCCTTAGAAGTCATAAATCCATTTGTGAACTGATATGCAAATCCACTCTTTATTATATCTTTTAAAATGTTGCTCAACTTTGGTATCAACTCCCGCCATAATGGGGAACTTACTGCCCCCCAAAAAAGCAACTTATTTCATGTTGAGTGGATTCTAATTATATAAAAGTTGTCCTCATGGTAAACTAAAATCTGCCACCCTTTAGTTTTCATTGTTTGATCGTAGCTTGTTTCATTCATTCAAACAAGTGTTTATTATGCATCGTTTTGGGCATTGTCGACATAGTGGCATTCCAGACAATCAAAGTTCTTGCTCTCCTGGGGCTTACATTCAATGAGTAAGATAGCCAGCACATGACTAAACTCATAAATAAGCAATATTCCTTCAGATAAGGCGAAATGATCATGACCAGAAAGAGTTGGGTGGGGCTACTTTAGACGTAGCGTGTTACGAGTAAAATTATGCCTCCCCTCAACAAAAAATATGTTGAAGCCTAACCCCAGTACCTGTGAATGTAGGCTTATTTGGAAAGAAGGCCATTGTGGATGTAATAAAGATAAAATGATATTATTAGGGCAGATCCTATCAAATATGACCAGTGTCCTTACAAGAAGAGACAGGCTACGTGTGATGACTCACGCCTGTAATTCCAACACTTTTGAGGCCTAGGTGGGCCAATCGCTTGAGATCAGAAGTTTGAGACCAGCCTGGCCAACATGGTCAAATCCTCTCTCTAAAAAGATAATGGGAGACTGGTCGGGCGTGGTGTCTCATGCCTGTAATCCCAGCACTTTGGGAGGCCAAGGCGGGTGGATTACAAGGTCAGAAGATCGAAACAATTCTGGCCAACATGGTGAAACCCCATTTCTACTAAATATACAAAAATTAGCTGGGCATGGTGGTGCACGCTTGTAATCTCAGCTACTCTGAAGGCTGAGGCAGGAGAATTAATTGAACCTGGGAGTCAGGGGCTGCAGTGAGCCAGGACGGCACCACTGCATTCCAGCCTGGCCACAGAGCAAGACTCCGCCTCAAAGTAATAATAATAATAATAATGGGAGGCTGAAGCAGGCATATCACCTGAGGTCAGGAGTTTGAGATCAGCTTCGCCAATATGGCAAAACCCTGTCTCTAATGAAAATACAAAAAACAAAAAAATTAGCTGAGTGTGTGGCAGATGCCTGTTATCCCAGCTATTAGGGAGGCTGAGGCAAGAGAATCACTTGAACCCAGGAGGTAGAGGTTGCAGTGTGACAAGATTGTGCAACTGCACTCCAGCCTGGGTGACAGAATGAGACTCTGTCTTGAAAAAGAAAAAAAATAGCCAGATGTGTTGGCATGTGCCTGTGGTCCCAGCTACTTGGGAGGCTGAGGCAAGAGGATCACCTGAGCTTGAGCTTAGAAGGTGGAGGTTGCAGTGAGCCCAGATCACACCACTGCACTCCAGCGCGGGCAACAAAGCGAGACCCTGTCTCAAAATAAGTCAATAAATAAATAGATATAAATATAAATATATATAGAGAGAAGAGACTATGCACAGAGGGAAGACAATATGAAGGGACAAAGAGGGAATGCCATGTGGTGACAGAGGCAGAGATTGGAGTGAGTATCTCCAAGCCAAGCAAGGCCCAGGATTGCTGGGAACACCAGAAGCTAAGGGAAAGGCATGAAGCAGAAGCTCCTCTAGAGTCTTCAGAGGGAGCATGCCCTGCCAGCACCCTGATTGTGGACTTTTAGACCCCAGAACAGGGAGACAAGAAATTTCTGTTGTCTTAAGCCATTCAGTTTGTGGTACTTTGTTACAGCAGGCCTAGGAAATTAATCCAGAAGGTCAGGCATCTCCTTACCTAGAGATGATTCTGATCTGACATGGCAGCTTTAATCAGAGAGAAGACTCTTCCAAGTACAGGAACCTGGAAGAGCAAAAGCCCTGGAGCTGGGATGTGCTTGGAATGTCCCAGGGACAGAAAGGAGGCCAAAGGAGGAAGAACATCTAACAAAGAGGGAAGTACTAGGAAATAAGCCTGGAGAAGTAAGCTGGAGTAAGATAATCGGATGGCAGAGGCTCCCAATCTGCCCTTCGTAACAGAATTCAGATGCCCAGGACCCCATTCCAAGGATTGGCATGTGGTGGTTCCAGGTCCCTGGATATAATCATTCCTGGGGTGATTCTAATATTCCTCCAATTTCAAGAATCCCATATGTAGAATTTCATAGGTCTGATAAGGTAGTTTTGGATTGTATTCTTTAGACAATGGGAAGCCATAGAGTACTTTAGTTTGTTTGGAAGGTCTAACTTCTTTGCAGTCTGATGCCCTTTGAATATTTGAAAGCAGCCCATGTGTGTTGCTCCTGTCCCCAATGCCTCCCTTGCCCCTGTCTTCTCTGCTTCAAACCAGCTTCTTGAATGCAATTTGGTTTAATAAATATTTATAGCAGACCTAGAGGAAGTCATGAAAGTAGAGCACCTCATTGTGCTTTAATATGATAGCACACATTTGTATGTTAATCAGCTAATTTAGTAGTTCCCAACCTTTTTTTCTGATCCAGGAAGCTGACATCCTATTCCACCCTTCTTCCCTGTGAGAGGCAAAGTTGAACACTGTCCCTTCCCTTACCAGAACTTTTGCTCCACTTTCCCAGCAGTAAAAAAATCATTGAGTTAACTGGTACCTAAAAAAGACACAAAAGTTCAAGAAATTTTGAGAGAAAAGATTCCAGGATTCATCCAGGAAAATGGCTTTAGCATATCCTGTGTGCTCAACCTGTTGCGGCAAGGTGTCCTTGTCCTGTAAGCAGGGGCAAGGGGGCTCGAGCAGTGATATCATTTCCAGGAGTGGCTACTACTAAGATGGATGCAGCAGACATTGCAGACAGACTTCCTCGCCTTCCTCAGGCTGTGAAGAGAATAGACCAAGTAACGTCATTCATGCAGCAACGTTGAAATTTCTGTCCAGAGAACCTTTGCTTTTAGCTCTACGGTATTGTTGGAAACTTCTTCTTAAAGCAAATGCATAAGACAATATTCTGACTGTGGGATAGTTTATGTGTTTTCTTTTCCAGAGTTTGGCAAAAACCCCTGATGAACACAGAAGGTTCACAAATCACCAGGCAACACATACCAAAAGATCAGAGCGACAAATTGCAAAGTTCTGGCTACCTGTCTTTATACCCATTATTAGAGAGAGCTCTGTATTCTAATCCTCTCTCATTGCCCAGGTCCATGAAAGAACTCATTCTAGAAGGGGTAATGGTATTCATATTTTATTAAAAGAGCCCATACTATCTTACTAGGGTATTCACTGGTATGGCTCAGCCACCTGTGTATAACCTGGGCTGGTTCTGACTGAATGATGCCTGTTGTTAAATGTTTTGAATATTACTCCTTTATCTCAGGGTTCATATGGAACTATAATACAGCCATGGCATAGCATCTCTAAGACACATCTGTGAAGGATAATTATTGTACCGTCTCTGTTGTGCTTTCAATAGTAGCTGTCCCAGTTACAACCTTGCTCTGATCCACAAGAGTGAACTCTTGGAAATTCCTTTATGCGATGACTTTGGCTCCATCCCTACTCCACCCACATTGATTTGTCAAGGGGAAAGAGCTGGTCAGAGTCTCTTCTCCAGGAACTAGGTTTGGGCCAAGGAGATAGTCAGTTTCACTGTTTATGCTTTTCCCTGTCACTCTCTGTCTCCATCTCTTATTATCACTGTTTCTTTCTCTCTCACTCTCCTCACAATGTAAAAACTTTGGGATCATCAGCAACCCTATTGTATGATTTAAAACTTGGGAAACTGAAGAAGGCAACCTTGCAGTAAGGAAACAAAAAATCAGAGACTGTTAAGTTATGTCTAATTTACTTCAAATTTCTTTGAACCAGTTGATATCACCAATATTTGACCAGTTAAAAATTATGATTCATAAAATTGGCACAAATTCTATTTCTAGCTGTGCTATTTGGAATTTGTAAAGTTATTGTCCTTTTCAGTATTCTGAGAATTGATTTGTTTCCATTATTATTTCTTTTTCTCACGGAAGTAAATAATTCCTGTGTGTTTCATCACAGAAATTGTGAATCCTTTTGATATGAATGTCATCAGGGAGATGGAATACTTAAGGCAGGTAGAAACATCTGGGGAAGAGCTTTTTAGCTAAAGGACTGTTCTGTGTTGGTTGAGAATTTTTGATCTGAGTATCCAAACCATGAAAGTGAGCCTCGATGGAGTCTCGTCCCCATTTTAAAGTATCAGTTAGAAGCCCTGGTAAAAGCTAACAACTCAGCAAACGTAAGAATCTCTGCCAAGGAAGTCTCTCAGAACCTGAGTGCAATAGAGAAGGTAAGACATTAGACAGTGGGTACCACACCAATGGATACGAGATCAAACACTGAGATGGCTGAAGCAATGCTTATTGCTTAAGACTCAAAATAGCAAGAGACACATTTTTGGAGGAGATTATATAACCTGTGGGAAAAAATGGATACTGGCTGACAATCAAAAGAGATTTGGACAATGGCTGGAAGTTGAGGGAGCTTCCAGCATGTTAGGAAGCCATCGTATGATCAAAGAATGTTCTGGTTATAGTAGTGGTGTGCAGAAGGTATAATGCAACACTCCTTTTTAGAACCTTGTGCAAAAATAATAGCAGAATCGTCTTGTCACGAAATTGTTCCAAGAGTCACTCAAGAGAGGTTTTGGGACCACATGCTGCTTTGGCAGATTCTCGGTCACCTCACTGTCATTAGAAATACGCTGCTAGAGAAGGGGTCAGCAAACTATGGCCCCTCGGCCAATTCTAGCCCACCACCTTCTTTTTTGCAGAGTTCAAAAGCTAAGAATTTTTAAAATATCTGAAATAGTTTTAAAAACCAAAAGATTTGTATTTTTTGACATGTGAACATTATGTAAAATTTTAATTTCTGTCCAAAAAATTTACTGAAACAGACCAATGCTAATCCATGTATGTATTGTCAATGGCTGTGTTGAGGTTAAGATGGCATTGAGTAGCTGTAACAGAGACCGTATGGTCTGCAAAGCCTAAGACATTTACTATATGCCTCTTTACAAAAAAAGTGTGACACCCCCTGTGCTAGACTATCATTCCCTTTTCTTCTAGAAGACTCTTCATGCAAAATGTTTTTGGGGTAACTAAAAGGAGAGAGGTAGGTCTTCCTTAAACTCAAAAAGGGGGCTATTCCTCTTTTGTGCTGGCTTGTTACTAAGTATTAAAACTTGGCCTGAGAACTTGTTTTCTTTGAAACCTGGTTGTGAATTGTTGAAGCAGACAAACATTGACCCCTTTCTCTAAACTGTTGGGAGTCAATGATATTGGCCAAAAAGAAACCAGTAGTCATGTAAAGCCCAATTTGCTTAGGTCATTTTACTACAGATGCCCTGAGAGGTAGAAATTAGAGCTGGAACAAAAATCTCATTGGCACTTTAGTCCCTGCTTTCAGATCTCTTCTCAGACTCATTTGCTTTACTTCTCTTTGCATGCCCTAAAACACTGAATAGCTTTAAAATAAATCCCTAAGCCACAAGCACATATTTATCACATAAAACCAAATAGAGTCCTTATTTATACACTCCTCAGGATCTACAGAAGGATATAGACACAGGAGTCGCAGTCATTCATTTTATGGAGCCATAAGATCTTTCTGAATTATTTAGTTAACTGTCCACCAGCAGTTATAGCCTAGTACTTCTCATACTTAACCCAGAAATCTTAGTTATTGAGGTGCTGCTTTATAATCTTTGCATTGGGCAACAACATGGCAAAAATATTGATACTTTTTAGGTAAGATGGGGAAGTGTGTAGTGTGTCGATGGATAATAAGTAACAGGCACCAAAGCTCTTTTTAAGAGAGGACAAGACATCACAAACCTAAAACAGCCCAAATCCCTCATCTATTATTCATAGATAGTTCCAAAGATTCAGCAGGTGATCAAACAGACATTCCAAAGACATAAATAGGGTCAGTGCAAATACCTTGTAAAAACCAGCGCTTCACTTTGTCTGCTGTGCTTCATTCTTTTTGTAGAATTTGCCTTCCTTACTGGGAGAAACTATACCCCAAAGTCACCATTGCTGACATTTCCCACCAGTCTCACTGTTAGGTGAAAATACCAGCCACTGTTTGAAAGATGTGCAGGGAAGACAGCAAGAGTATGCTCTTTGCAATGACAGATCAATAAACACCTTCATGCCAGATCAATAAACACCTGCACACAAGCATGTCCCAGTTAGTAAATAAATGGGCGCCCATTTTAATTATTAAACAAGAATTGGCAAGAGTCAATAGATAGGCACTTTATAAAACAAAAAGTATTTCTGATACTAAATTGACTTGGTTGTAGCTTTCTTCTGACTTAATCATCTTCATCATACCATTTATCAACAAATGAGAACCAAAAACAGTCTACTAACCAATAGACATATCAGCTTTTGGGTCACTGCCACGGAAAGAACATTTGTAAATTGTAAGGCTGGTTGCCTCGCCAGGAGCTCCGACAGGCCCATCCCTCTCCCGGCCTGAAAATTACGTCACCAGAATACGCCCATATCTAGCTCCGCCTTGGAAATCCCCTCTGCACTTGGCATCTAGCCCGCCCTTGGAAAGCCCCGCCAAAACCTGACCAATAGCACATTGCCCTGTCTGGAAATCCCGCCCACCTACCTATAGCAGCTTGCTACGTCCACGTCCTGTTTCTCCATAGCCAATCAAACGCCTTCACTCCCTATAAAACCCCACGCCCAGAGGAGTCGAGCTGACTTCCCTGGCCCCTTTCCCCAGGACCGTGGGACCTTGCCCAGGAGCTGAATAAATTGGCATTTAATCTTTTTGCGCTGGCCTCAGTCTCCTCATTTCTAACTTGGCAATAAACCTCACAAGAGAATCAACCTTACATAAATTTTCCACAGAGATGTTCTTTTGCTAATTTGTACTGACTTCCAACACGGTTCATCTTTCGATGAAGTTCATGGTTCCTCTTGGTAGGTGCACCTATGAACCCAGGGAATTCTTTTTCCAGACTTTTCTTGTGGTAGGAGCACATTGGTTTCAAAAGGCTGTGCTACATAGAGCACTCACTTTTCCTGCACTAATAGTAATAAATCAAGGAGTGAGTGCTTCATGAAATGTATGGACCTAGGCCTGCCTCAGTATAATGGGGCTTTTATGCTGACATGCTCCATTAGGGACCACCACACACAGCTTCCTCAATAAACAAGCTTACGGCTCTAGTAATAGAGTCATTTATGGAGAGAAGTCACCCAAAAGACCAGAACTTATGAGAGGTTCTCAAAGAGGAATCACACAGAGTTAGGTTAAAAGATAATGCCGTAGATTCAAATCAAAAGACCATCATTCAGCTGAAAACCTGGCTCCCCTGGCTGGGAGCCCTGGTTCCTCTGGTCCGATTACCATACCTTTCCGTTGTGATCCGGAGAGGAAAGCTCATTTGTACTGTCCTAAATAAGGAAAGGAATTTAGTGACTCTAAAGCCAATTAAAGCTCTTTCTGAATATTAGAGTTTCTCTTTTTCCAAAACACAAGAATTTCTGATCAAACAAGAACTTTCCCACTTTTAATTAGCCCCTTGTGTTCTGAGAAGAAAAGCAAGGAAAAAAGTCACCATTGTAGGGATTTAAAATTATTTAGCTCTGCTGATTATTATAAGAAGATGTCACAAAGAAATGGGCGTTACCTTTTCTCTGGTCCCATATCTTCTTTGGTGGGAGTAACTATGTCTTATCTAGGACCAAGCAAATCCAGGAGATACAGGAAGCGTGCTGGCAAGAGGCAGATACGAGATGAAAGCAAGAGCTCTTGTGTAACATGATTGCTTGAGAAAGTCCCCAATGTTCTTGCTTTGACCCCCACAATATATCAGGTGACCTAATAGAACTCAACATATGCTAGCTATCATTGCTCTGTGTGTGTACATGCACATATATATAGGATGTAGGATGTAAGATATGTACATATGTGGATGTAAGATACATGTGTCTGTCTGTGTGAATATATATATATGTGTATGTTCATCTCTCTGTATATTTAGATATCTAAAGGAGGGTTTAAAGGCCTTTCCCTTCTGCAATTTTACCTTTTCCTCTTTTATTCAGATATCACCAACATACAGTAAACTGAACAGAACTTTAGGCATATAGCATAATGAATTTTTACATATGTTTATGCCTGGGTAACCACTATGCAGATCAAGACATAAAATAATCTTAAGAGCCTATATTTGAAGCCAAGTTAGTCATTTGATAAAAGTTCTTTATTCTGAATCCCCAAAAGAGAGGTTAGTACAATAGCACCAACCAACTTCCAACCACAAAGGATCCCTGTTCTTATGCCTTACAAGGTTGATACTGTTATAAGTAGCCCTGGGGAGGTGGAGCATTCTTGGTGAATTAATTCTGAAGGTTGTTGGCCCAGCAGCCAATCCCAGCCCATAAAAGAGGCTCCCTAGCAGGGAAGAGTCTGAAGACATAAGCCATGCCCCTTCCCAGCCTCCTCTGCAGCTAGCCCATGTGACTGCACTTCATCCAATGGAAGGTAGGAATGCCAGCTAGAGCCTTCTGAGAAAGATCATCCATCAGGGAGATGAGTGCAGAAGTTCCACTTCCTCTTGTGACAGGTGTATGCAGAAGGGATACTTGGAGCTGGGGCATCCATGAGGGAAAACGATGCCAGTAGCCCCAGGAGAGCAGCAAGATGGATGCTGAGTCCTGGAGGACAGGGTTGAATCTCCAAACTAGAGGCCAACAGGCTTGTGTTGTGAGCATCCAGGTAGTAAACACTTTAGGCTTTGTGGATACCCATGGTATCTATTGCTGCTGCTGCTTAATTTGGGGGCTGTAGAAAAAAAAAAAAAGAGAGAAAGAGGCTGCAGTGTAGATTTGGCCCACTGGCCATAGTTTGCTGACCCCTTCTCTAAACCAACCCAACAACCATGCATCTGCAGGGTATTTTTCAAGGATGATGATTTAAAACAAAAACATAAACAACTATCATTTAAGCTACTCCAAGTCAGATATTCTCTTACTTGCAGTTAAAATATTCCCCAGGGATGTTTAGTACATCTGCCTTCTCAGATGTGTTTCACATTTTAAGGAAAATGAAATGATATTGAAGGAACTACTTGAGATGCCAAGGGGAAATATACTACAACTGTAGTAGGACATTTTCTCAAAATGTAGTCTTCTGCTTTGGATGGACAGGACTGGATGGAGAGACAGATGGACCTGGAGAGCAAGGACCAAGAGTTGGATGTGTAGAGCACTTTAAAATGCTAAGAGGAAAATAAAAAGATTCCAAAATTTCTTAAAAGCAGGATCCAACTAGCAGCATTTTCCACCTGAACAGTTTATAGGGTTTACTTCCTACATTTCTTTTTCCTGTCAATGCCATAATTGATGGTTAGTTTTATGTATCAACTTGGCGAGGCAACAGTACTGTTATTCAAACACTAGTCTAGTGTTGCTGTGGAGGAATTTTGTAATGTCATCAACATCTCCAATCAGTTGACTTTAAATAGAAGAGTTCACTTTGGGAGGCTGAGGCGGGTGGATCACGAGGTCGACAGATCGAGACCATCCTGGTCAACATGGTGAAACCCTGTCTCTACTAAAAATTACAAAAAATTAGCTGGGCACGGTGGCGCGTGCCTGTAATCCCAGCTACTCAGGAGGCTGAGGCAGGAGAATTGCCTGAACCCAGGGGGCGGAGGTTGCGGTGAGCCGAGATTGCGCCATTGCACTCCAGCCTGGGTAACAAGAGCAAAACTCCGTCTCTAAATAAATAAATAAATAAATAAATAAATAGAAGAGTTTATCTTTCATAATGTGGATGGGCCTCCTCCAAGAAGTGGAAGTTCCTAAGAACAAAACTGAGGTTTCCCCAAGGAAAGAGAAATTCCGTCCATCACCGTAGCATGAGCTCCTGCCTGGGAGTGTTCAACCTGCTGCCTTATGGATTTTGGGCTTGTGAGCCTTTACAGTGCTATATAGTCAATCCTCATTATTCATGGATTCCATATTTGCTAATTCTACTCACTAAAAGTTATTTGTAACCCTGAAATCAATACTCACAGAGCGTTCAGAGTCATTTGCAAACAAGCACAGAGAGGCAAAAGATTTGAGTCACTTGACTCACATGTTCCGGGCTGAGATTGAAAGAAAGCACTCCTCTGCCTTCTTGTTTCAGTTCCTATACTCTTAACAGGAGTCCTTTTTGTGGTCTGTTCAGTGCCATGTTTTTCACATTTTTATGCTTTTCGTTTGTGATTTTGCTGTTTAAAATGGACCCTAAGAGTAGTGGTAAAAAGTACTGTCTAGTGCTGTAAGCACAAGAAGGCTTTGATGTGCCTTGCAGGGGAAATAGGTATGTCAGGTAAGTTTGTTCAGGTATGAGTGATAGTGCTGTTGGTTGTAAGTTCAATGTCAATGAATCAGGAATATGTAGTAAAGAAGGTGTCTTTGAACAGAAACACACATCATACAAGATCATGTATTCATCAGTTGGCAAAAATGTGACCAGAGGCTTAGAGGAACCTATGTATTTCCCCTAGGAACGATGTCACTGATTCAGTGTCTGTAGGGTGTGTGTGTGTGTGTGTGTGTGTGTGTGTGTGTGTGTCTGATGGATACACCAGCTCACCAAGTGTGGAATCTCTAAGGGCAGGTCAATCGGTTGTTCAATGGCTCCTAGTACCCTCAAAAGAAATTCTAACTTGTCATCACAGCCCTCAATATTTGCTGTTCTCTGAGCCCTGCAACCTGTGCAACCTCACCTTTCTCTTTCTGGCCCAGCATCTGGCCTTTAGCCAGACTTGACCATGTGCAGTCTCTGAATGCACTGCCTCATTTTCTTTTTCCATGCCTTATGCACCTGCTCTCCGCTTCTACACTGCCAGACCTCTGTCCACCACTCCAGCCTCATTTCATGACCCTCATCACCCCTCTCCCAGGATCCCTTGACTTCCAGCCCTATCTCAGCATTCCTGGCTTCCTACAGCATTGCCCTTTTCAAGGCATATTTGCACATGTTGGTTCCTTTTTCCGGAATGTTCTTTCATGCTCCTTTTGTTAGTTAAAATTCACACCTGTCCCATAAACCCAGGCCACCTTCCCTTGCTTCCCTC